TATAAAACATCAAATTCAAAACCGATTTTGCTACCAAAAAACGTGAATACGGAACCAATTTTAGTTAAAAAAAAAACGTGGATATGATTTTGATGGTATATTTCATGAACTCTCAATTGTTTCAAAATAAAAATTGCAATGTGTTTTTTTTAATAAATTCTTATAGTAGTAAGTCAAATCATTTGTTTTAGTCAAACATACTAAAAAGAATTTTCCAACGATCTTTTTATATTATTGTAGATAAATATACATATAAAATTTGCACAGACAGAATAAAATTCTCACGCCCTTAACTCGAATTGTTAAGGTCGATTGGTGATGATATATACCAAACGAAGTTTTGATGTAAATTCGTCTTCCCACTGCATTTTGTAATTACTATTGATTCCAAAACATATTAAAAAATAAAATAAAATTATTATTATTGCTTTCGAACGTTTGACTTTTTTTCTTTTTCAGCTCAACAATTATTTTAACATAGTCTCATTAATACCATCTGATGATAATAGAGATTTCAAACAAAATAATTCAACCAACCAAGAAGCAAGAACCACAAATACATAATATTATAGTTCATATATATGTAAAAGATATTTATTACAACACCATTCATATATTAGTATATTAAATTGCCATATGTATGTATACTATGGCATACACATATAGATAGCAGCGTATACTAATAAACAAAACGATCGATCTTCATTTTAGGTTCATCGATCACTTTCGAGTACATCATGCCAAATATTAGAAAACACAACTGAAACCCTAGAGTTTATGAGCATATATAGATATTTCATAATTAGGCGACATTATATAACACACGAAAATATTATTTTCAGACACTACCTATGGTTTATTATTATTCCCCTGTGTATAAATGTAATCGAGATGAGCAGTCTCATCATCTTCTCCAGCTGCGTTGTAGATTTTATCTTCAACTCGGTCTTCCTTGTTAACCTGCAAACGACGAATCGCAATTTACTTTCTAATTAAAATCTCCTGACCGATATATAAAATCAAACCGATTATTTCAGCTCGACTGACCTCATTTGTTTGTTCGAATGTATTAGGGTAACTAGCAATCGAGCCTTCACGAGAGGCAAAGCAATGAGAGAAGACAAGGAGGAGTGCTACGAGGAAAAAGGTCGTGGCCTTAGCCATTTTTTCTCTATAATGCTTAACTCTATAATATGGTAGATGTTTACTTAATTGATATAGGTGAGGAGACAAGTACATAAGAGGGGCCAATTTATAGGAAGCATCATGTGTTGTGTTTGTTGAATTTGTACAATTAGATTAACACACGTATTATCGCTGTGTTGATCCAACGGTACAAAACTCAATGCTAACGTTTTTCCAATGTATAGAGTTGGGCGAGTCAAAAAGTTAACTTTTGTAAGCATGCCGAGGGTTACTCTTGGAAGACCGAAAGGATATTGTTTATCTTATGAGCAGTGTTCTAAAAGTCGTTAGGCGCCCGCTAGGCGCTCGACCAGCGCCTAGCGCCTAGAGCGCCTAGGCGGGGCCTAGGCGGCGCCTAGTCGGGGCCTAGGCGGCGCCTAGTCGG